AGGAGGAGGAGGAGGAGGCGCGCCGCAGCCTCGCCCGCCGCAGCCTCGCCCGCCTCGGCGCCAGCTCCTGGGGGCCGCGGCCGCGTACGTCGCCGGCGGCCGGAGCGGCTGCGCGCCGCGCCGCAGCGGGAGGCGCCCGGGCTGGGGCTCGGCCGCGGCAGCAGGCGGCCAGCGCCAGCGGGGACCCTGCGCCCCCAGCTTGGATCGGGGAGACGTAAGACTCGGGTACGGGGACTCGGGTTGGCCTGACGGGGCTATCATGAAAATGACGAGACCCAATCTGAAATTTAACGCGAGCTCCCGCTGCAGACATCCCACGAAAACTGCACCGTTAAAATCCAGGACGCACTCGTCAAAAAACGTAGGCGAACCCGAGTTCTGGCGTACTCGAGTCTTACGTTTCCACGGTCGGAAGGTGCTGTCTCCTGGCTTCCTCTCGTCGCGAGTGGGTCGCCCAGACATGCTCGCGTTGTGGCAGACATCAGGGCGGGTGGCTTTCTTCGCCGTTCTCGGCCTCTGTGGGCCTTCCCCTTGCCCCTGGCAGTGTGACAGGCCCAGGGGAAGGGGTAGGGAGCTCCGGGGGCCGCGCGTTGAACAAGCACAGGGCGTCGCGTGTCTGGGAACGCTTCGTGCTGCGCGCAGACAGCCCTCCAGGTAGTCCTGGCTGGCCTCCTCGGCCCTCCGAGCAGCCCCAGCTGGCCTCAGCAGGCCTCCCCGACTAGTCCGGGGCGGTCTCACCACCCCGTCGCCGCCTCTGGTGGCGCGCCACTGGGGCGCTCCGCGCCCGAAGGTTGAAATGTAGAGACCGCCCCTGACTACTCTTAGGTCGGGCGTGTCCCCCTACAGGCGGACTTTGGACGAAAAATAGAAGATAGTCAAACATACACAGAAACGGTCAAAAGTAGAAGAAAAATCGTCCCCAGACTATTTGTTTACTATTTTTGAATATTCCTCCTGTAGAGGGACGTGCCCGCCTAATGGCTGATCGGAGGGCCTGTTAAGGCCAGCTGGGACAACTTGGAAGGCCTCTTGAGGCCAGCGTGGGGCTCGAAGCCTTACTATCGCGAGTTTTTGTGTTTTTCCTCGTGCTGCGATCCTCCTCCTCCTCCTCCTCCTCCTCCTCCTCCTCCTCCTCCCCCTCCTCCTCTCCACCTCTCCTCCTCCTCTCCTTCCTCCTCCTCCTCCTCTCCCTCTCCTCCTCCTCTTTCCTCCTCCTCCCCTGCTCCTCCTGTCTCCTACTTCTTCCCTCCTCCTCCTTCTTCTCCTCCTCTCCTCCTCCTCCTCTCTTCTTCCTCTCCTCCTCCGCCTCTCCTCCTCTCTCCTCTCCTCCTCCTCCTCCTCCTCCTCCTCTTCTCCTCCCATCCTCTACTCCTCCTCCTTCCCCTCCCCCTCCCCCTCTCCCCCCTCCCCCTCCCCCTCCTCCTCCTCCTCCTCCTCCTCCTCCTCCTCCTCCTCCTCCTCTCTCCTCCTCCTCTCTCCTCCTCCTCCTCTCTCCTCGTCCTCCTCCTCCTCCTCCTCCTCCTCCTCCTCCTCCTCCTCCTCCTCCTCCCCCTCCTCTGGGGGCCCTTCGCTGGGACCTGGGGCCGTCAGAAGCCGGCGGAGGGTGAAACGCCAGCCATCGGGAGGGGGTCCGGATCTTCGGAGGGGCGCGCGGGGGGACAAGTCGCGTCCTCGGATGTCTGAGGATGCATTTTAAAGTTTTAGGACGCCTTCGTCGGCCCTGGAGTTTCTCTAGCCTCGGGGTGCTTGCCTGCAATATCGAGGCCGAATATTTTCGTTCACTGCAGCATCTTTTCGCGCCGTCGTGATGATCTACACCTTTGCTGCTATGAGAATGCTTAGCGTGTCTCTTGTTGGTTGGGGGGGCGAGAAGGCGTTGCTTTGCTGCTCCCCCCCAAGGTCCGTCCCAACGCCTCCAGGCAACGACTCGGCGCGAAAAGCTGGTACTGGGAGGAAGCCCTGGGGCGGCCAGGCCCCGTGCCCGCCAGGACCCGACTCTCGAGTCCTCCTGCAGATGGGGTCCGAGTAGATGGGGTCGGAGGGTCGCGGCGCATCCCCAGCGCGTCGCCGACGCCTCGGCGACGTGGGTGACGCGTCGGCGACGTCGGCGTGGAGAAAATCGGGCTCCAGATCGAGCCGCATCGCGGATGCATCGGCGCTGCGGCACGATCCCCCGATCCCGTGCTCCGACCCCATGCGGGAGAGGAGGGGGAGGAGGAGGAGGAGGAGGAGGAGGAGGAGGAGGAGGAGGAGGAGGAGGAGGAGGAGGAGGAGGAGGAGGAGGAGGAAGGGATGAGGAGAGGAGGAGGAGGAGGAGGTCGGAGGAGGAGGAGGAGGAGGAGGACGAGGAGGAGGAGGAGGAGGAGGAGGAGGAGGAGGAGGAGGAGGAGGAGGGAGGAGGAGAGGGGATCCCCTCACGGCAATATCGGGGGGCGGGCGGGGGCGGGCCCACCGATGCCGCTGGCCGGCAGGGACCGAACGCACGGCACCAGCACGTCCAGCGCCTCCGCCCCGCGGCCCTCGAGCGAGAGGTCCAGGGCCCTGTTGACCTCTGGGAGCTCGAGCAGCCACTCCTGGGGCGGTGGCGCCCCGCGGGGGGGTTCGCCGCCTCGGGCGCTCCGGCTGCAGCCTGAGGCCCCGGGCTTTCAGGTCACGGCGCGTCTTTCACTTCGGCGTGCCGTGGGGCGCCAGCACTCTTGATCCGACGAGCGGCTGCATCCAGACCGCGGAACAAGACGCAACGTGGTACGGATGCCTCGAATTGGCTGCCCTGCCCTGTGGAGCCCCAGCGGCAGGGTTTGCATGGGTTCCCCAGCCAAGTTCGGCACACCCCTCACGAAGATCGTGGCCCCGCAGGGAGCTCCACCGAAGGCCCCAGCGGCAGGGTTTTCATGCGTCCCCCCGCCCATTTCGGCACACCACTCACGAGGATCGTGGCCCCATAAGGGGGTTCCACCGAGAGCTGTACCCACAACGCGATACTCACAGCTGCACATGGTTGGGTCCTTTGCCAGGATAACTTTTAGGAGGGGGCCGCGAGGTGTCAGAGGGTCCTTTTTCGGCCTCTGGGAGGGTCACTTGTTGACACCCCTCACGAGGATCGTGGCCCCCGAGGGGGAAAGCTACATTTAGGACCCCCCATTTTTGACCGACCGCCTCCAAGATGGCGCCCAGAGGCCCCCCCCCCAGGGCTCCCAAGAGGCCCCCAAGAGGACTCCAAGAGCACCCCACGAGGCCGCAAGAGGCCTCCAAAACGCACCCGAGAAGCACCCAGGAGGCCCCCGAGCGGCCTCAGAGAGCCCAAGATGACCTCCAAGATGGCTCAGGTTAGCCCAAGCTGGCTCAAGATGGCTCCCAAAATGCTCCAAGAGGCCCCAAGACCGTTCCAAGACGGCTCGAGATGGCCACGGGCCTGGAGATTCCCCAACACGCCGTCCAGGCCAGCCTCCCTCGCTGTTTGACTATACGTGTCTCTTCCTCTCTCCCTGCGCCAGCTCTCATGGGCATCGTTTCTGGATGGGCTGGTAAGGATTTTTTGGTCGCGGTCGCAAGCCAAGGCGCAAGCGGCGTCAGAAGTCGTCCCGGGCTACGGGCGAGAACTAATTATCCAGCGAATGCACTCACGGCTGCCAGAGCTGCCGCTGGGGGACGTTGGGCGGCGCCGGGGGCTGAAGGCGGGCTGCAGGAGCTGCCAGGTGTGCCAGGCGGCCGAAATGCAACCATCCCAGAGGCGAGACCACCAAGAAGATGAACGAATTGTACCCTGTCGCGCCAGGCGCCAGAGGTAACCGTGCCACCGAGCGTGGCAAAGCGCGGGGCTGCGCGAACAGTCCAGGCTGGTAGGGATACGCGAAGCGTCAAACATTGAAAACAACTTCCCGTCCCTGATTTTTTACGACGCGATCATGTCTGGGTGTGGTTAGCAAAGGGTGTGGTTTGCAGTCGGCGCCCTGGGGGGCACCCTGGGGGGCGGGCGAGGACCTGGACAGCACTCCCCGCCGCGCCCCGAGGAGGCCCGAGAGGACAGCTGCGTGCTCCCAGGGCCGCAGCTTGTCCCGATCGCAAACCACACCCCGGCGGAACTATCTCCTTTGTGGCCGCCGAAACTCGCACAACAAATGGCGAAAGTGCCCTGTGGCAAGCATGGACCCGGCGGCGGGCGGAGCCCGCCGAGGAGCGACCCGGCGGGGGCGCCAGCCGGTCGTGTCAACGCGCGGAGTGGGAGGCGACCCGAGCAGGGCCTGCCACGAAGTGACTACAGTTAAGGCGCTGAAAGAAAGAACAATTTGGATGCGGAAGGGGCTCGATGTTCCTGACGTCCCTCCGCGGCTGTTCCTCTAGCCCTTCTCGTGCACCCAGGCTTTTTTGAAGCCGCAGAGGGGCTTCATTCCTTATTTAGCGTTCCTTATTTCAGCAGCCCGACTGTACACTTTAACGGACTCCTATCCCCACCGAGGTGGCCCGGGCCCCAGAGGCCGATTTACCCCCGTAGATGGAGATGCGGGCCGTTTCCTTCTGGATTCGAGCGGTACATTTCTCACTGGGATGCTGAGATGGTGGTGGAGTCTGGACGGGGATGGGGATGGGGATAGGGGTGTAGGTTAAACGATACTGAGGAAGGAGAGGGGAGGAGAGGCCCTGGGTGCCGCTTTCTGACGCTCCGAACGGGTCCTGAGGGGAGCGGGACCTAGACCCGGGGGCCTTTCCCGGGCCCCCGCCAGCGGCTTCTCGTGTCGTGCTCTGCTCCTTCACAGCGACGAACACTCCGAACGCACGTGGCCCCCGTTCAACTGCCACAGCCGCCCAACCTTCGCAGGCACCAGCGCTTCTGACACACAAACCTGAGACTCTGTTAGATGCCACTGCCCCTGCCCCCTTCGCCTCTCGAATCCCCCCTCCTCCTCCTCCTCTTCCTCCTCCTCATCCTCCCACCCTCCTTCTCATCATCCTCCGCCATGCCCCCCCCCCCCGACCTCCCGCCCCCCTTCCTCTTCACAACCACTGCCTCCTCCTGCTCCTACACTTCTACCCTCCTCCTCCTCCTCCTCCTCCTCCTCGTCCTCCGCCTCGTCCTCCTCCTCGTTCTCCTTAGTCCCGCCTCCCCCCCCCCGCCTCCTCCTCTCCCCTCGTCCTGCTGCTGCTGCTCCTCGTCTACCCCCCTCCTCCTTGTCCTCCTGCTGCTCGCCCTTTTCCTCCTCGTCCTCTTCTTTCCTCCTCCTCTTCCTCCTCCACCTCCTCGAGGGCTCCAGGATCGCCGCCTCGTCGTAAGCGTGCATCCCGGCGCCGCCGCGCCCCGCCAGAGTGGGAGGGGAGGGAGCGAGGAGTAGGAGGGGCGCAGAGGATGTAGCAGGAGGCAGAGGCAGATGAGTGAGGAGGAGGGAGGAGAAGGAGGAGGAGAGGGAGGAGGAGGAGGAGAAGGAAACGAAACGCAGGAGGAGAAAACAGCAGTGGAGGATGAAGACTAAGGATGGACAATAACCGCAGTAACTCTTTAGAACCCACCCGGTAATACGGGCAATTTTTCCCAGCCATCCTGTGGTGTTGGGTCCTCGTTTTGAAGAGACGGTCCCCGCGTTCCTTCCTCCTTCCTCCTCCCTGACCTCCTCCCTCCTCCCGTGCCCCCCTCACTTTGGCGCACCCCTCACAAGGTTCGTGGCCCTATAGGGAGCTCCACCGAATGCCCCAGTGGTTGCGTTCGCATGCGCCCGCCGCACCCATGTTGGAATAGCCCTCACACGTTTCGTGGCCCCGTAAGAAGCTCCCCCGAAGGCCCCATTGGCTGCGTTCGCATGTGCCCGCCGCGCAAATTTCGGCACACCCCTCACACGCTTCGTGGCCCCATAGGGAGTTCCACCGAAGGCCCCACTGGCTGCGTTCGCATGCGCCCGCCGCACCTAACTTGGCACACCCCTCACATGCTTCGTAGCCTTGTAGGGAACTCCACCGAAGGCCCCAGTGGCTGCCGGCTGCGTTCGCATGCGCCAGCCGCACTCATTTCGCCACACCCCTCACACGTTTCGTGGTCCCACAGGGATCCCCCCCCGAAGGCCCCAGTGGCTGCGTGCGCATGCGCCTGCCGCACCTATTTGGGTACACCAGTCACACGTTTCGTGGTCCTGTAGGGGGCTCCCCCGAAGGCCCCAATGGCTACGTTCGCATGCGCCCGCCGCGCCCTGTTCGGCACACCCCTCACACGTTTGGTGGCCCCGTAACGGTGCTCCACTGAAGGCCCCAGTGGCTGCGTTCGCATGCGCCCGCCGCGCCCATTTCGGCACACCCCTCGCACGTGTCGTGGCCCCCATAGGGAGCTCTACCGAATGCCCCAATGGCTGCGTTTGCATGCGCCCGCCGCACGCATTTTGGCACACCCCTCACACGTTTGGTGGCCCCGTAAAAGGGGGCTCCACCGAAAGCCCCAATGCCAACGTTCGCAAGCGCCTGCCGTACCCTTTACCGGCACACCCCCAACGCATGTTTCGTAGCCCCGTAAGGGGGCTCCGCTGAAGGCCCCAGTGGCTGCCTTCGCATGCGCCCATTTCTGCACGCCCCTCACACGTCTCGTGGCCCCGTGCGGAGCTCCACCGAAGGCCCCACTGGCTGCGTTCGCACGCGCCCGCCGCACCCATGTCGGCACACCCCTCACACGCTTCGTTGCCCCAAAGGGAGCTCCACCGAAGGCCCCCATGGCCGCGTTCGCATGCGCCCGCCGCACCTAACTTGGCACACCCCTCGCATGCTTCCTGGCCCAAGGGGGGGCTCAAACTGCATGTGGTTGGGTCCTTCGCCAAGCTACTTTTATCGGCTGCCTTATTCACGGACCGGGGTTCCACCGACAGGAGGAAACGTATTATTCCCAACCATCCTGTGGTGTTGGGTTGGGTCGTCGTTTTGAAAAGACTGTCCCCGCGTTCCTCTCCTCGCCTCCTCCTCCCCCTCCCCCTCCTTCCCCACCTCGCCTGTGCCCTCCGCAGGTTTTTGTGTTGGCACGCCCCTCACGCGCTTCGTGGCCCCATATGGGGGCCCCACCAAAGGCCCAAGCGTCAACTTCCGCATGCGCCCGCTGCAGCCCAGTTTGGTACACCCCTCACATGCTTCGTGGCTCCATAGGGAACCCCACCGAACGCCCACATGCCAGCGTTCGCGTGCGCCCACCGCACCAGATTTGGCACACCCTTCACAGGTTCCGTGGCCCCATAAAGAACCCCACCAACGGCGTAAATGCTAGCGGTCGCATGCGCCCACCGCACCCACGTTGGCACACCCATCACACGTTCGTGGCCCCACAGGGAGCCCCACCGAAGGCCCAGATGCAAGCGTTCGCATGCGCCCACCGCGCCAATTTTGGCACACCCTTCATACGTTTCGTTGCTCCATTGGGAGCCCCACCGAAGGCCCACATGCCAGTGTTCGCATGTGCGCACCGCGCTCATGTTGGCGCACCCCCCACGCGTTTCGTGGCCCCACACGGAGCCATACCGAAGGCCCAAATTTTAGCCTTCGCATGCGCCCACCGCGCCGATTTTGGCACGCCCTCGCACGTTTCGTTGGCTTGTAGGGAGCCCCGCGGAAGGCC